AGACAAAGGAAGTTAAACTTTGAAGCTTTTTCTTCAAAATTAACGCATTTCTTTCGTTTTTTTTCAGTTTTAAGAAATTTTTATGTTTAATTACATTTACATAAAAAATTGTTAGGAACTAAAGCGATTAAGGTAGATCTAGCTGTCTTTTACATCCATAAATGTTATATGTCAGTGGAACAAATGGAGTGAGCTTTGACCGTTCCACGATTTTTGGAGACTGTCTATACGCGGGCTTCCTAAACAAGCCTATATGTATGTTTGTCCAAGAAATTTTTGAATGAAATACAAACCGCACAACTTCAAAATCGCATAAAAATAATCCGCATAAAAAGAGACCTTACAGTATATACATTTGCGTCAAAGCTAGAGTGAATCAGATCACAAGAAATCAGGTCAACGGATCCAACATCTAATAGAGTAGAATGAAAAAAATTCCTTTAACAAGTTAAAATTGCTATTGTTTTGTAAGAAGAAATCAGGCTTTACTGGCCAGACTATATTGTTCATATTTGCATGCTGCATGCACTGATGTCATCAAGCATAGGACAGTTGTATAAATAGTGCATGACACCATCCCGCACCCCACACAGCTGACAGCAGTCAGAATTAGAGTGGTGAAATCTTTTCAGGTAAACACGAAAGCGCCCGTGTTCTATCAAAAATTTGGCTAAATCATGTGTGAGTTGAATCCATTTGCTGTGAACGCCATTTGCTGTGAACCTTTGGGATGAAACGCCTTGTTATGTGTTGTTGTGGGATCTCGTCCCAATCCAGTTTCCAGGTTTCCAAAGCATTGTCCCAGATAAGGTATTTAAGTCTTGACTTAGGAATGAGATTGTAGGCAGGAGGAATATCAGGATGAGGCGTTACGTTTCGCTCCAGAAAGTCAGCCCGTTCATTACCTGGAATGCTGCTGTGTCCTTTAATCCAATTGATGGCACACTTGTTAAAAGATGTAGAAGTTGCAGCAAAGATGTCGTTTGCAACAGGGTGAGTATTATGCTTATTCCCCAAAGCAGCAACAGCTGCAGCACTGTCTGTGAAGATGTTTATGAGTTTGTTCACAAACTCATAAACATCTTCACAAACATCTTCACAAACTCTATGTTTATGAGTTTGTTCACAAACTCATAAACATAGAGTTGCATCAGTTGATTACCATCAAAACAGCAAACATCTTTGCTTGGAAGACAGAGCATCCGGGTGTACAGCAAAGGAATCATTGTAAACATCTTCACCAGCCTGAAAGATCACAAAGGCACTTGCCGTGCCATCCGTTGACTTGGATCCATCTGTAAAAGCTTCCTGTAGAGGTAACACGAGGAGAGATCCCTTCCTTAAGGCAGGATGTGGGAGTGTAGATACACGCCTGTCTAATTCAAACATGGTGGCATTAAAGATGGTTCCATTAATATCAACATCCCTGCCCCTAGAGATACAGAAACGATTGCTATTAAATTGGAGAAATTGGAGGATGGTTTCGACTTACTTCTACTTAAGAAGTAGTTAAATAATTAAGCGATTAGGGAATTGGGGACATAAACAAAACCCTGATGAGAGTCGAAATTTTACTTAAACAAAAGCTTAACCGAACCATCTCTAGCAGAGTATGGTGGAGTCTGATTTCTTCGTATTATTAATGTAATAAAGACAGAAATTTTTCCAGTTCAATGAGAGTGATCGAAAAGTTGTAAATTTTGGAAATTTCTAAGGATACTTGGTCCTAGAACGAATTAGTTAGAAAAGAAATGACTATTAAGTTTAACATATTTAGATTTTTACAGCTATGGTGAGAAACGTTTAAAATCTACAACAGCCCTGTCGCGTCTTTTGAGATATACTAGTGATGCGACAAAAGAGGTATTTGACATTGACTGCTATCGGCACCCTGGGGATTCGGCAGTCCGCGTGTATGCACGCTCTGCAACCGTCTTCGATTCCATCTTGGCCAACCGAGTGAACTTGTTTGAAATGCATCTGGGGTGATGTACAGCAAACTACTTAAAATGTGAAATCAATTTTTCTACTAAAAGCCTCGTTATGCAACTGAGACTTAATAAATTTCGGGTTTTGTTAAAGCGCTACCGGCTACACATATCAAGAGATAAGGCTTGTAGCTGTTGTGGTAATGAAGTAGAAGAGAGCTTTTTCATTCACTTGTTCGGTTTTGTCAGATGACATCCCAACTGAAATACTGTTATCCGGGATGGTTTTAGGTATAATCATCTAAAAAGTGAAGATCTGTTTAGAGTTATTTTATGTAAAATCGTCATCTTCTTTATTAGAACTTTAGATTTTTTGTGTGTTAAGTTAAACCTTGTTTATTAAATAATGCTGTATAATCACATTTGTTTTTTCCCGTTGTAAAAATAATTTAAATCAATAAAAAATTTGAAATATCAGTTCTTTTTTGCATAACATTTAGTTAATTTTGCGGTATTCTCAAACATATTTTCTGTCATATTGTTAAAATTCATTTTAAAACATTCAATACAGTGAAAAATTACTGACTGCTTCTGTTCTAGTTGTATCTATTAATTTCACTATTGACTAGTAAGGCTCTGATTAAAAGACTTGTCACAACGGAAAAGTCAAAAGACGACAATCGGTCCATTCTTTATTATTTTGGTAATTGGCTAGTCTATCCGATTTTCTATAGACTTGTCACAACGGTTAACACAGAAGACAATTCTTACTTCATGTAATATCTTTTAGTTAAATCGAAATGCATTTCGGACATTCAGTCCCTATTTAGTAGGAGACTAAAAGTCATAAATGCATTTTGAAAAAGTTATCTATTCAGTTTTTCAATCCCAATGTCTTTATTATACTCCTTGTAAAAGAATGAACAAAGAGCTACATAATTATCGTCGTTCCAGACTTATAAGACACTGTATTTTACCTTTATTTTATTGGTTATATGCGCCGATTTATTATGAAAGTACGTAGTCTGAATCAAAACTTGAAAAAAATAAAATCTGTTTCATAATATATTCGTAATACTTCCAACTACATTAATCTCAAAGTAATTTTCAATCGTACATATAGAGTAAACTCTGTAAAAACTACTAGTAAAAGGAGAAAATTGAGTTTATGAATATTTTTCCAACAACGAAGAAAACACAAAGGTGAACTTCAGTATAGTATTTTACTGTAGTCAGCTCTATATATATCTAAATTACAGGAAATAAACCAAAAATGCAGACAGTATTGTACAGTGTTTAGTATCATACCTACTACTAGTAATGTAATGAACGATGTTGCAAATTTTTCAATTATCGAAAAGACTCGTTAATTATAACACTGTATTTGTGTTGTCAAAAAATAATTAAAGTTATACTTAAATCTTGGTTGCTTGTTCTCTATCATATGTATTTTCTTAGCACAATGTTGCTATTGAGAACATATCACACAGGAACACTTTCAGAGGAAAAATGTTGTTATATTGGTGTGGACGGATATGCATTTCGGGCTTAATGCCCCTCTTTAGTCCTATTATTACATATTTATCAGTAAATTGATTACAAGATTTACAAATTTACAGAATGCATTGAAAAAATTAGGATACGCGTACAATGATTTATATAATAAAACTTAATAATTAAAACTTAACTGAGATAGTGACGGTTGAACCAACATGACTCGTAAGATCCACACATAGTTTTAAAAAAGGGGGAAAAAGGATCTAATAGTTCTTTTGGCTCCACACGTATACACATGAGGATAGTATAACATGTGCTAAATAAAATAAAAGGGGTAAATTTAAATCTAAATTTAAGTTTATATTAAGAGATGGAATTTTTAAAAATCATAATGAAATGTCGGTAGCATGTGACATAATTTTGATGAGATGTGCAAAGAACATAGTTAAGATAGGAGAGGTTACAAAGAAGTGAGTGATCCTTGTAACACACACTGGAAGGTTGGTGTGACTCCATCATACCCCACTTGCTAGTCACAACAACCTTCCAGTGTATGTTACAAGGACCACTATCTTATCTATGTTCTCTGCATATCTCATCAAAATTATGTCACATCCTACCGGTATTCCATTACGATTTTTAAAAACTCCACCTCTTAATATAAACTTAAATTTAGATTTAAGTTTACCCCTTTTATTTTATTTAGTACATGTTATACTATCCTCATGTGTATACGTGTGGAGCCAAAAGAACTATTAGATCCTTTTTTCCCCCTTTTTTAAAACTATGTGTGGATCTTACGAGTCATGTTGGTTCAACCGTCACTATCTCAGTTAAGTTTTAATTATTAAGTTTTATTATATAAATCATTGTACGGGTATCCTAATTTTTTCAATGCATTCTGTAAATTTGTAAACCTGTAATCAATTTACTGATAAATATGTAATAATAGGACTAAAGAGGGGCATTAAGCCCGAAATGCATATCCGTCCACACCAATATAACAACATTTTTCCTCTGAAAGTGTTCCTGTGTGATATGTTCTCAATAGCAACATTGTGCTAAGAAAACAAAGTTATATGTATCAATAGTTACAGTTAGCATTAGGATTACTGTTTAAGTTATTGATTTTTGTGGTGATAAGAAATGTTTTAATATTTACGAACCCAAAAGTCAATATATATTTTGTTGACTGTATTTCCAACCTATTCACACTAACTATAATAATTAACTAGCAGACCCCGCCACGCGTTGTTGTGGCTCAAAATGTATCTATTATAAATTTATAACACTTCCCCGTGGGGGGGGGAATTTTTTGAAAAATTTCTTCTTAGTGTACATTCTGTTGACGTACCCTATTAGGACGCAATGAAAAACGCAAAAAACCGCATCTAAAATAGTATAAATAGAAGCAGAGTTCTTTACGGTAAGCCTTAATCCTAACCATCTCCCTTCAGTGAGAGGAATTTCGACACGTATATTATATAAAAACACGTGCATATTCGAATGCAGCGTTGTGTCAAAATTTCAAAGGAATCAGTAGGAACAAACGAACATTACATTTTTAATTCGTAATTTTTCGTCCGATGGTTCTTTTAATTTTTTATTATTATTATTTGAAGACAAGTTCGCCCAAATAGGGATCACTATTTCTTGCTTTTGCGTTGTAGACAATACATTTCCGGCGACCGACCTTCCTTTCTAGGCTACTAGCCGCCAAGAAGGTACACCCCCAAGAAGGTACAGATGGTAACAAGGAAGACGTTCGTATAACACTAGTTCCGATTTTAGAAAATTTTTGTGTTTTTAATTGGAAATATTTTGTGTTTTTAAAAGGACTTTTTAAACTTTTGGAGACTAGTAGCCTAGAAAGGAAGGTCGGTCACCGGAAATGTATTGTCTACAACGCAAAAGCAAGAAATAGTGATCCCTATTTGGGCGAACTTGTCTTCAAATAATAATAAAAAATTACATTTTTATTTATATAGATAGATAGAAGATGATCTGCTTTAGTTCATTTTCACAGAAAAGCATAATGCCTCACAGAAAAGCAAACTTAGAGCGTCGTACTCGTAGCGCCATCTGTTGGACATAAAAGCCTTAACCTAGATTATATCTTTTAATTTATATGAATGTTTAACGGAATAATATACAGCCTATGTACACCCTGAGGTTCCATTCTAAATATTGGTGAAAGAATTTTTGAAATCGGATGAGTAGTTTCGGAGATTACCTGCTGCAAACAAACTTACATACACGTACTGTACATACTTACAAACATCACCTATTTATAATATTAGTATAGATTGAACGTATTTTGAAAAATTCCTGAACTTCTTCAGTTTCATTTCCTGGTCTCCCAGAAGGTTTAGGCTGATACTCCGGCTCGGCTTAATTAATACGTGTGAAGGAAGTGTCAGAGAAGTGTTAGTTCTACAGTAATCTAACATAGTTGAGATTAAAAGTGTTAGTGGCTATCCAAGTTTTTCATACAAGTAATGAAGGGCTCACTGAAATCTGTCTGAAATTAACAAGTAGGCAACTAAACACAAAAAGTTAAATTTTTGCATGGTAATGCAAGACCCTGCACACTAAAAACTAGGCTGCAGCCAAATTTGAAAAACACAAAGAGGAGTTTTTCCTCTTTCTCTCTAGTCCACAGTCTGATCGCAATGTTTTTCATTCGCATTTGTTTGGGAGTTGAAAATAATTTGTTGTGTTTATTGTGTGAAAGACTTGATTAAAATGACAAAGTTCAAGAAGAAAGGCAATAATTAGAAATTTGGAGCACTGTTTTCTTCAATAGCATACACACAAGTCTATTTATTTCCGCGATAACTATATAAACACTGGCAGTGAGTACGTTGAAAAGTAGCATTCATTGTTTCTTTTACCTGTTGTCTGTTTCATTTCTACAAATAAAACAGCTGGTCTGTTAATTTACAAATATATACCTTAGTAGCTGTAGATCCCTCTTATATATTTATTTTGAACACTTATATACCTTTTTTATATTTATTTACACAATTAATCTAAACTTACTTTTATCACATTGCAGAACCAGTTAGGTAAGGTATCATCCATGTTGTTTACATCTTTGGAAAACCGATTTAAGATTTTTCCTACAAAATATCAAAATGTAAAATATTAATTAGAATAACCGCTTATGTAAAACATATTTATTCCAGTATCATTATTATTTATAGGAATACAACGCAGCATATCTGTATGGTTAATGTTTTACAGGTTGACTTTTTCATACCAGAAACTTTGTACTTGTACATATTTATCGATACAGCATATTTAAATACAAGAAGTTTATCTTTACATCATAAAATTATACGCTTTATATAAACTATCCTTTAGGCTTAATGAGATTGGATTAAATAAGAAGAAATAATGCAACAAGGATTTATAACAGTAATGTTATTGACACAAAATGTGGTTTGTTTAATTCCGCAATGTTGTATAATACAACGATGACTGTGACTGTGAGCAAAACTGTGGCTCGTGAGCAGAATATGACTCTTCAAGAACTTAATTGTGGATCAGCAAATAAATAAAAAAATATTTGTTATTTTTAAAAACTTTTGTATCTTGTAAATACACCGGAGCCACAGTCAGTTCACGTCTTTTCAAAATTCAGAGTTAACGCATCCAAGCAGCACCTAATGTTCTTAAAATTTTATTCTAGCACACACTACATTTTTTCTTTACACTGGAGTTTATAATTTCCAAACACTGTAATTTTATACACATGTTTACATGCTCATTAAAATCGAAAAGTTTATTCGAGCCAATGCAAAAAACTACCGTCAGTTTCGAAATTTTATTGCAGAACTCAATTTAAATAAAGAAATAAATGATTTATTATTGTACTAAATAGTGAGGTAGTTACCAACGTACTGTACGATGTATTGAACAGGTTTGTAGTATTGCTGGAACCTACTACAGTAGAGCGTCGTTTATCCGAATCAATTGGGGACTGGCATTGTTCGGATAACTTATTTTTCTGATAATCGATTATGTACGAAAAAATATATTAACCTATCCCATGTTGAAATTTTTCTCTGTTGCGTGTCGCTTCGTGTTGAATTTTCGTCGATGTTAAGCCTAACTTAAACTTTTTAAAATAATAATCGTGGCTATTGTATCGTTAAAAATTATTTCTTTATTTTTTTACAAACGAAATAAATATATTGAAAAATATAAAAACTAAAAAAATTATACTTTAGAAGTTGATCTAGTATGAAAAACATTCGATTCAGCATAACACAGTCCTCAGAAAAACGCCACACAAATATGACAGTGCTGCCAGCTAAAACACATACACAAACATAAAAAATATTGGAGTATCCCAAGATATAGCCAAATATTGCAGCGCCACAGCACTAGCAAAAATTTAAATTTGCCGACTGGAATTCTTTCGGATAACCGACGCTCTACTGTACTGACGCTCGTATTGACTTTCTAGATAAAGAAAAGCAATCATATCCGCAATTAAAAGATAAAGAATAGATCAATGACTTAATGTTCTACACCGATACAATGGAACATTTAAAAATTTGAATTTATCACTGAAAAATAAGGACAATAATATTTCAGAATTAAGTCAAAGCATTTTTCAGTTTTTAAAAGAAAAATACAACTTTTCCAAAAGGATATAATAGATAAGACATTCAATTACTTTCCTCGCTTAAAAAAAGCTGTTTCAGATTCTGATATTCCTCTTGCAACCATCATTTACTCCGAAACAAAATTTAAAAAAAAAACCTGTTGAACGGTTTTGAAGAACAATTTGCAGATTTAGTAGCATTAAAACCATCAATTGCGTTTTTAGTAAATCCATTTAAAATAGCTATGATTAACAATGGTTTTACATTATTAAAATGCTTACTTCCTGAAACGGTATCATCAGAATTAGAATTAATTGAAGTGCAAGAAGATCAAAGTCTCTAAATGTTACATAAATCGGCAAAATCAATCAATAAATTTTGGAAATATGTATCAATAATTTAGTACAACAATTTAAAAAATGCCACATATCGTTTACTGTCAATTTTTGAATCAACGTATGCAGTTGATTCATTGTACTCAACGATAAAATTAATTAAATTGAAGTTCCGTTTACATATAACGAAACTAGCAGACTTAAGAAACTGACAAGCAGCTTATTTAACATAAAAAATGGCTGACAAATTTACAAATTAAAAGTTCCGTATTTAAGAATAAAATGTCTTCATTTTTGTAATGTCAAATTACGGAAATTTTTTAATGTGTAAACTCGTCAACCATGTTTCTAAACGAAAGTAAGTATTTTTTCAATTGTTCGCCTGTAAACTTTTTAGACTGTTTTCCATGTTTTTGCAGAGGCGTAGCATCAAATAACAGATCGGCTCTGCAATGAAAGTCTGTTCTTCCTGGTGATTTGACATAACGAAAATGAAAACATTTTAATCTGATATACGGAAATTTTTTAGGTTATTGTACACTTAAATGGTACTGTGTCATAAAATTTCTGGTCGTTCTCAAATCTAAAAAGAGTTGTTAAAAGGTTAATGTTTTACTTTAGATTACGACGTTCAGTTTATCAATAATAGATTATTCAAAGTTTTTCTTGTTAAGAATGAACGCGTTTCTAAATTTAATTTTATTATTCAACTTTTTCCCATATTTATTCATTACATTATTATTCATGATTAATACTTTGTGATTAATTTGCTATTAATTGTATTATAGATTTTCTATAATATAATTACTAGCAAAATGAACTATCAAACTTCATATCTAATTCTAAAACGTAAACTGTAAAATTCTGTTTTCGGCTATTTTTATGAGGGGTGGGCAAGCAAGAGTTCAATGGAAGCCGAAATGTAGGTTTTGCAAAATGATGGGAGCCGCAGTTCTGTACTTTATTCTGTACCGCAGTTCTGTACTGCGATTTTATTATATAATATAAATATAACATAAAATAAATATTGAATTTTTTAATAACATATTTTCACAAAATTGTGAAAATAAAATTGTAAAAATAATAATAAAAAGCAGAAATAAACACTTTCAGCAAAAGCCGCATGTAACTCAAAAAGAGCCGCATGCGTCACTCGGAGCCGCATTTGCCCATGTGTGTTATATGATGTAATAATATTATCTATATATATAAAAATGAATGTATGTGTGTGTGTGTGTCTGTCTGTTCTTCATGCATTACCACACCGTTTATTCGATTGCCGTGAAACTTTGGGAAGTTGTTTAATACACTCCCGCGAAGGTTTTTGGCATAGTACATTTATCCTACGATAGATGGCGCGCGTTTACACGAGCATTCGAGCACAGTGTGTTCGATCGATTTCAAATTGTGAAGACCATTTCCCCCCTTCAAAAAATATCTCTATATATGCATTTGTGAACTGTTATTTACGATATTTGTAATAATTTTTGTTTAATCACTTTATTTCAACTTTTTTTTGCTAATTATGTATTCGCTCGAACTTCGTTAAAACCTTAACTGTACCCCGAACAACAACCGAAGTTGTAGGAAGAAATTCGCGTATTTTACCGATCTAGGTATCCCCCTTTTTCAAATTTTAATATCGACTCAAAATAATTTAAAAAGACAAATTACAATAAAACGGTTTATTATCCAACTATCAGAAATTTCACAACATGCCAAGGAAGAGAGGAAGGAGCAATTAAATAATTAAAATTATAAAGGATTAAAAAATATATATATAAAAATGGGGAATATCGCACTTCTGACAATCGCTGCGAGTGTGTGGGCTAAATTTGGAGAATTCGTGCTTCTCGCATGGACAACAGTATGTGGCCGGCTCACGCGTGGAAAAATCTTCCGATTTATTCGTGTACGCACCAGACGGAAAAACAAAAAATATCGTGTATCCACAAACACTCCAATAAATAAATAGAATTGAAACGACACTTTGAAATGTTTTCCCGATAAAAATGAATAATAATAATAAGTTAAAAAAAAAATAAAATGTAAATTGAATTTTATCACAACGAGTTTGCTTGAATTTCCTTTTTTCTGAGATCGCAGCAATGCGCGACGGATAAGCTAGTTTACTATGAAAATATTGTACGTAAAATGGAAATATGTTAGAAATGTCTAATTATCTAATTTTAGCTTAATATCGAAAACGTTTCTTCTCGATTATCATTATTAAATCTTTAAATTAAGAATGAATTAAATAAATATATTATACATACCAACGGGAATGTTATCCAAAAATGATATTGGCGTTCGAATGATACATTGAAACATATTATTGTGCAGCTCTATAGACGCAGCTATAAACATTTCATACATTAATATTGCAGACAGTATCATCGTGAGAAATCCTGCACATATCATTCCAAAGTAAACATATACGTTGTATGCTTCACTATAATAAAAGTTTTCTTCTCCAGTATTGTTAAAAATTGTTTCGTTAAACGTAATATTTTCCAGTTTCACTGTACTTTGTCCATAGATTCTTTTCTTATACAACCTGAAAATTATACATGAAATAAGAATTAAACGTTTGGAATTTACAATATTTTTATAATGAACAGAAATACATAAAAACTACTTGAATTTATTATATAACAGTAATACATATGGTTAAATAAAATACATTCAATGCAAATTTAAACCACATTTTTATAACTTATCATTGGACATATAAGTGTGAACATCATTGATATCCTTTATACTGTGACTGACACTGCTGCCGTTTAAATTTATCTGGAATTATTGGGCGACATTGTACATACTGACATTTTGTGACTTTTCTATGAACACATGTTAAAATCTGTTGCTACAAAGGTCAGAATAAAACAAGATATTATGTAAATCAAGTATCTTTCTGTACTATTCTTACAGCCCACCCAATACCTTCATGAAGCATTATAATCAACATGCGATTATTATTGACTTTTTCAGAAAACTTTTTGATTATAAAAATAGGAGGTGTTCGGTAAAGTTCTTAAGTAAACCACGAAATTTTTTTTACTGACTTTAAATTTTGAATTTAAATTGCACAGTAAATTTATCTATTTAAAATTTATACATGAAATAAATTCTATTGAATTCTTTCAAAATAATTTGTATTATTTTTCTTCATAATTTTATTCAGAATACCAGAGTATAAATATTGTACATGAAAACATTTAAAGATGGAAGAATTAAATACATCCATTGCTATTTGTAAAAATTGTGCATCAATTATGTATGATGTAAATAATGTCATTTGTTTTTCATTAAACAATTTATATAAAAAACACATATTTACATATTAATATTAATTCTTACATTACTAATAAAAATAACATACCATTTAACTAGCCAAAAGTCACTTGCATTTATATTAGCTTGTGATACAATTAGTATAACTAATAGAACAGACTTAAAGAAGAATCCCTTCCCAGCATTGAAATATTCTCTATAAACTGAAAGTCCTACTTTTCCAACTCCTTCATCATCTTGTGGTATTTTTTTACCTTCATCTTCCTACAGCAAAAAATTTCAAACATTATATGAGCATTCATTTGATTATGCTTCAATTCGTTACAAAATATTTTATTACAAATTTAAGAAGTAAAACATATTTAAAGTATAATTTTTTATTCAACATTTTGTAAAGCATACCTCTGTAAGTAATAAAGCTGGGTGCCAATATCTGATAAATAAATACCCTTTTTTATTTCTTTGTAAATAGCTTCCTGTTGTTAACCCCTTTGTCAATCCGTGTTATGTATGCATTTTTTGAGTTACCTCACAAATGCCAGTGTTTTTCTAAAAACTGAAATTATCTATAGCTCAAGAATGATTATATCCACAATTTCAGTATTTTGTCAACAATGAACGCATAAAATACTATAGGCCTAGGTACAATGCAATATAAAATATTTGAAATTGACAAAAATGCTTAATATATGTTTATTTTAATGTAATTTGATCTGAAACACAAAAGGTAATTATATAAAATTACAAGGAATGACATTGTATCGTTGAAAGATAACACTTTCCTCTGAAATTTCACACAGATCTAATGTCAATTGTTGAAACTGCAAATAAATTATAACAAGTTAAATATTTTTGCAGTTTTGGATCGAACTGTATTAAAATAAACATAAATCTAGCAACGAGTTGCATAAATTTCCAGGTTGTTAATTAAACGATTTCATTTTAAAAATAACATATATAATAAATTAGAACGGAATGCCCAGCGCGGTTCGAAAAACCATAGATGGGGTTGACTTTTTCTCGTAAGGTATGGTAGGTTTGCTATATGATGACAGAGAGTAACTACGGGCATATTCAAATTTTTAGCATCAATTCAGTGAGATGCTGCAGAGTGTGACTCAATTTCTGACGTTCTCGAGAGAGAACAGACGCCAGCTGCCAAAATATCCTAAAAGAAAACAAAAAGATGGCACATGGTGTGGATTTCCAAGCTACATTAAAGTTATTTTTGAATTTATTTAATGAGAACAACTAAATAAAATATGAATATTTCGAAAAACATTGAGATGGAGATCTTTTAATTTCTGCAGGCGTTAAAAATAACGAAGTCAACTCTGAGATTACAATTTAACAAGTAAAGAAATTGTGTGATGACATATGTAAATATAGTGCAATATTAAAATATTTTATTAATGTACTGTACTAATTATAATTTATTCAAGATACGTTTATAAACATATAAATTAAATACAAAATTGCCAACGCAAAACTCAGCTCTTACAAATCTCATCATACCATCTTGTTTGCTGGCATATTCAGCACCTCGTGCAGTTTTCTGGTAGTAACGAGAAGTTGCTTCAGATTTTGAACAGAAGTGCTGAGAAGTGCTATCAGCATGCTGAGATTTTTAATACTTCTATGCAAAATTTAGTGCAAATCACTTAAATGTTAGGAAAATCAGTTATGATTCAAGTTTTGAAGTAGCAATTCTCGTTTTGGAAGAAAATAGACAATAACTATGCAAAATTTTTTTACGTTGCTCCAAAGGTTTGGTAGCTTTCAAATACAGGATGAAACTGGTGAGAAGTTAAGATTCCGAGTTTTATGGTAGTCCAAGTTCCCTATAGGTAGGTACTGTACCTATGAAAAAATTAATCAAGAGATTGGGCGTTTGTAGGAAAGATAAATTCAACAGGAAGAGTGGTGCTCAAGTTTTAAGGTGGCTCACGTACAGTACATTGGAAAGTATGTCATTCAACGGTCTCTTGACACGGATGTATTTCATGACAATTGCAACTTGCTTTTAGGCAATTATCATCAACCATGCTCACACGCATATGCGTACACCTAAAAAGTAATCGTAATAACTCAATTTATGTCGGTAGATATCTGACAATATAAGACTAATTCTTATTTTGAAATAATGGTATGATTAATAGTAAAACAGTGAACGCATAAAAATGCTCTAGGCCTATACACAAAAGTTTTGTTTCATATAAGGAAAGTAAATTTCCTCCTTGCAAAATATTAATTCGAGAGAAGAACAAAGTAATCTTGTTGTTTGATAAACTAAATCTATATACAGTTTGGCCATTGTAAGGATGGTAAACTTTCCCTATAATGTAAGGGTCATACACAATAATGTAAAGTACGATGTACTGTGAGTTGAGAAAAAGTATTAATGTCGTTACCCTACTGCTGATGATATTAAAAATGTATTTTTGGGAGTGTTTAGTGATTGTTTAGAATTTTAATGTAATATGATATACGTCCATTTTAAAGGATTGGTGAATAATGTAAAAAAATCCAGAAGTGTCATATTAGTGTGGCAGAAGGATTTGTAAGAAAAAATCGTGGAAAACCTTTTTTTGTATAGCACTGAAGAGGGGCATAAAGATAATAAAGCGCGAAATGCCTACGTAACCTGTATCTTCAATAAAAAATGTTCCTGACCTACAGGCAGTAAGATAATCTACCGAAATTCTTATAATTTTTTCGGATTAAAGAGAGTTATATATGTATGAATGAACCAGTAAATTAGTGAAAGGAGGAACACAGACATTATGGGTCTCAATTATTCCAACTTACCCTTGATTGTTAGTGTATAAATCGTTACAGAATAGTGTAATGATAAACTGTATTTTTGTAAATAGAATGTATATAGAAAACGAGTTGAGTGTGGATATATACTCGTATTTGGAACATACTGTACATTTGAAACATCTCGAGCCGTATTTGAAGAGATGAAGTACAAATAGGAATTTCCTCTCTCCTTATAGTTATAAGTTCCAGATAACATGACACTATTATCATAAGAAACAAACGACCAAGCAATATAAACAAAGCATATACAAAAGTACCCAAACTGCACGAATGAAAACCGAAACCGAAAATATAAGATACACAAAAACACAGCTTGTGTCGAAAGGGATAGACAAACTAGGATGACAGACAAGCCGCGGTAAAAGAGAATGTTTTCGTGTATTTTCTTTTCTTAATTAATATAGAAATCTGTTTATTGGATAACGTAAGCTTTCCAATAGAGAAAAAACTATAAAAAATAGGTCCTATAGATTCCAAGCTTATGACTAACAAACGAACAATCAAGCAGTCATTCTCGCTTTATATATTAGTACAGATAAATTTGTGTGTAGTGCCATCTGTAATGAAGTTTTGCCATAAAAAGTTTTTATATTATTAATTACTAGCTGGGATACCCGGCTTCGCTCACGGAGTTATATGAGATTGTGTGGTAGTTGGAATAAAAGGATAAACTTTAAAATGTTAGAGGTAAAAAAATTTTATTGAAAACATATTCTAACTATTTACAATAATTGTTTACAAACAACATTTTTCATTTTGTAATCCGGGGTATACAGTATATGTACAAATTTTTCGAATTTCCTACTCGAGAGCAAGCTCTCGTATAGTTGACCGTGAGAGAAGCAGGAGTCTTTGAGGTTGATGCCGCAATATTTTAAAGTGTGTCCTTGTGCTTTCTTAATTGTAAAACTATAGGCTAATTTGATTGGAAATTGCAGTCTTTTGGAAGGCATTATATGAACGGTATGTCTCTGCAATGCGTTGTAGTCCCTCTCTTCTTCGTTGTACAATTATGTCACGGCTTGTGTTTTCATTGTCCACAATTACGATAGCGACTTCGCCTATCTGAGGTGCATTAAATCGACGTTCGTGTTCTCCAGGTGGTCTTTTGTCGGCTCAAATTATAACTTTATATTCATAATAAATCATTCGGTCTAGTGCTGTTTTGAATATGTGAATCAGTTTATTGGGATCCTCTGTACATCTTGGATTATTTCTCGTCTGAATCCACTGATATTTGTGCATCGTTGATCAATTCCTCTTTCTTCATTTCCGGTGAAATATACTTGCAGAAATTTATGGTCTTCGTTGAGTAGTGATAGTAGTGATCCCATTTTGTGATAGATTTGTCCTTGATGGAAAAAACATAATCGATTTCATCTCTGTTAGTGTTGATCGAAGTGTCACCGAAAGAAGTCATTTGGAAGCAGGCGTTGTAAGCTTTTATATTTTGAAGAAAGTGTTTCGATTCGGGAGTTTCCCCGGTTGTGTAATGTAGAAATTCCTGCGGAGGTGCTTCCAGTAGTGGTAATGGAATTTTTCCATTCATGCAACAGAATTCTGGTGTTTCTTCACTAAATTTTTTCGCGTTGCAAAACTGCAGATGTTATCCATTTTTCCGATTACGACGTGTTTGTGTTTTCTATATTCTTTCGTCAGGTCGTAGTGGAATGCTCCATTTGTTAGGTTGTACTGTTTACTTGTCCTTGTCCGCGCTTCTCGAAGGGTGATATTTGCATGGATGGCTTGCGTTCGCAGTCTTTTATTATAAGATTGTGTCGCAATTCTTGATTCTTCAATTTGTTCATTTCGTTGTTCTTCGGTTTCTCTACTTCTCACGGTGCTCATTCTCGTTTGTTGGGAACGTAAACGTGCCTCACGCTCTTTGACTGTTTCGTTTTTTCGCTGTTCTTTTTGTTTTCGCTGTTTTGCTTCAGAACTGGCAAGAGCTCTTCCTCTTTTAAGTTCGGGAATTGTATAAAATATATATCAAATCAACTTTTTATTAACAAATATACTAAGTACTGAATACAATCGTACCCAGCAAAAGTAAACAAATAACGTAACCAACACCTTATTGTTTGCTGAAGGAGTTTTATTAAAAACGAACGTTTTCGATCCACTTAACGGATCATCATCAGGCTAGAACATACGAAAATGGAGTACATCATTAATGGAACAATAAGTTCAAAAATTCAAAAATATCAATAAACTGATAATATATCAATTAATAAGAATAAAAAATAAATTGTAAACGATACCTAATAATAAATAATATACTACAAAGACTA